GAGGCGGGGCTTGGAGATCTTGACATCTCTTAAATGGAAACATCCAGGAGACAGTCTTGGGAGAGGAAAATGAGATAAGATTTGAGATTTGTCAGCATATGTCGGTGAAAGACCTAGGGAGAGTCCCTAGTGAGAAGACATGGCTAAAGCCCCAGGCCTTGAACAACAGCCGCATTAGAGGCCTGGACAGAAGAAAGGGTTTCTAAGAAGGAGAGCCCAAGAATCAGGAGGGAAACAAGTAGGGTGAAGGGGCCCAGAGTCTCTGTCCTCGTGACTGGGAGCAGCAACCACTTCCCGGAGTTCCTGTCATAGCACTCGGGCACGGTTTCGTTGACTCTTTTATTCCAGGCACTTCTATACTCATGACTTATTTTTCTTTGTTCCTTAATGAAATCTTTTAGTTACAGAAGTAATACATGCTCATGGTAACAAGGCAGATAAAACAGAGATGTATGGGGGAACTATCAGAAAAAATTACTCCTAAACCTCTTAGCCCCTACCACACATACACTCACACACACACACACACACACACACGCATGTCACAGGCTCACGCATCACACGCACACACATATACCATGCACACATATATGCACACACACAGAGGTTTGTTTTTTGCTTTACATTTCACACAAATGGGAAACCATACCTATTATGTAGAAAATTTTTTTCACACAATATATCATGGAACTATATATTTATATATTTCATTCTCTTGTTGATTGCTATTTAATGATCTGTAGTTTGGCCACACCAATGTTTTTTTCATTCCCAAATATTCTTGAGATCATACTCTATGTTATGATCCTCTTTTTTCACTTAGTATTAAATCAATTCCCTGTGTTATTAAATAGACTTTGTAAATATAATTTCAATGACTACATCACAGTCCAGAATATGAGTATATCATAATTTATTTAACCATAATTTACTTTCTGCCAATTTGGGCTATTAAAAATAATACCATAATGAACATTAAGCTATGTCCACATTTCTGGTTATTTTCTTTAGGATATGAATACTTTTAGAGTCTTTGTCCAAGTTACCAAATTGCTTTTTCTAGAAAGACTATAACAATCTGTTTTCCCACTGGCAATGATTGAGAGGTGCTCCCCACATTTTTTCTTAAGTGTTTATTCATTTGTTAGATAAAAGTGGTATTTTATCACTTTAATTTGCATTTCAGAAGATTCGTGAGGTTAGCTTCGTTCAAGTTCATTATCCCTTTGTAATTCTTAAGAAGGAGCTGATCATGGGCACCCAGGGCCCTCCATTTCTAAATCAGCCCTTCCTCTTTCACCACCTGCCCTACTTCAGATGCTTCTTTCCCACCCTTGGGCTCCAGCACGGCCCTCTCCTTCCTGGGTCTGCATCGCTTGCCATCGGCTCACAAGCCTCTCACTCCCTCCTCGGTCCCAGAGCTGGTCTCCGTCATGGCTTCTGTGCTTGGGGGTGCCCTTGCTCTGCCCCCCTGAGCCCCGCTGCCCTGGAGAACCGAACATAAGCCTAGAATTTTCAAGCAGGCTGCCAGGGTCCAGCATCAGACTGGGGTCAATGCTGACCTTGGGCAGACACAGCCAGGGCCCTTCCTGCCCTGACCTGGGCCCCGGGGAAATGGAGGGCCGCCATGGGGGCCTCACCCGCTGCGACTTTATACAACTCTATCTCTTCTTTTCCTTTCCCATTTTCCTCCTCTCCCCATTATTCCAACTCAGGCTTTAATTTTCACAAATGATACAATTTGGTGGTTTGGGGTTTCTGCAGGAGAATTTCTGTGATCCTCCGAGCGCTGGGACCTGTTTGCCCTTGTTAGACAAGAGGGACTCTGGACACTCTGCAGACCCCCGTCAGGCTGTGGTAATAAGCAGGGGCTGTTTGAGCTGCAAAGTGTAAACCTGGTCCTTCTTAGTGAGACTTCGCAGAAATCCCACTGGAGGTTTTTCTGCCCCTGCCCTGTCTACTTTCCTTCATAATGATAAATGGCTGAAAAGAAAACTATCTAATTTCCAAACTGCTCGCTTTTTTCCTCCTCTTTCTTCAAGGAGAGAAAGAAGAACACAGTCACATAAAACAGAGTTCTTCATCGCCTGCTTCTCAGGAGACAGTTCTTCCCCTTTTCATCCCGGGCCTGTTTCTGATCTCTGATGGGCTCGCATTGAAAGCTCCGGGCCCGGCCTCTCTAATCAGCTGCGACAGACGACAGACACTGCAGTTGCTTGGGTTGCCCATCGAAATTGAATTGATTACCCGGCCCCTTTGCCATTTTGTTCGGCACCCAATTGCTTAATAGCTGTCACCTTGGCTTTCAGTCCCAGCCGGCTGCAGGCTGACTGGTTCCCATTACTCGGGATGGCCAACGCAAGTTCATCACCTTTACAGGATGTCCCTGATTGATTCCGTATGCCTCCGAGACCTGTAATATATTTGCATAGGAGGGAGCATGGCGTTGTTGGGGGACGGAATAGAAGTCTCCCGGCTGCAGGAACTGCCAGGTTTAGCTGCAGGGCTCGCCATATTTGAATCATTACCAGGGCTTCTTGTCAGGAGTCTGGCCTCTGCTGACATAGCTGCTAATGAATTCGTAAGTTTTTTTAAAAAATACAAAACAACCCAGCCCGTCCTAACCTTTGCTGTCGCCACCTGCTGCCTGGGTGGGGATGGCCAACAGAACCATGCTTTTCCTGCCTGAGCTTGTGCTGCCCTTTTGAAATGACAGTCTCTCCCTCCCTGCTCCCTTCCCCTGCCTGCCAAGCGGGAGAACTGGGGCTCAGAGGGGGACATCTTTCAAGTGAAATCCTTTGCACTGGGAACTACTTCAATTAGACAGCAGGGGGAATGTTAACATGCCCTCCGGCCTTTTAAGTGGGTTTTAATTTTATGTTGTAAGATAAGACACTGCAAGGCTGGGGCTGCTACTTCTCCAGCAGGCTCCATTAGTGGGGTGAGCCGAGGCCTCTTGACCCCCTGAGGCCCAGCCAAGACTGGAAGTTGGTTTGGTTTTTTAACAATTTGTCAGTCTGACCCAGCTTCTCTTTCATTCTCCCTTTTGTTGTTCCAGGCTCTTCTGTTGTTGGAGGGCAGTTGGGTAGCCAAGCTGCAGCTGAGAGCCTAGCCCCCTTTCCCCGAGCGGTCGGGCCTGGGCCGGAGAGCAGAGCCCTGGTTGGGATGGGGGTGGGGAGGGGTTGCTGCCTGTCTATGGCCTCACAGCTGAATAGTCATCTTTTTTTTTTTCCCCCCTTCCCAGGCAGGGCACTGTAGAAGCAGACACTTTTCATGTGGCAGGTTTCTGGCCCGATGATGTATGACCTGTTGGCGCTACTGAATGGTGCCCTTTGTTCCAGGGTATCCCATGTGCCCCCTTTTTATTGACTTGTTGATTCAGAGGGGCAGGAAAGTTCCACAAATCCCACTGCAGGCCCTGCTCTCTAGCCGTGCCCAGGTGGGGAAGCCCAAGTACTTCATGCTTCCCAGAAAGCTGGTAGGAAGATAGGGGCCGCCTAGAGGCAGGATATCCCTTAAGAGACAGTTTCTTTACCTTGGACTCAGGCAACTGTGTGTCTGGAGAGAGCCTGGGAACCCACATCTAGCTCCCGGCCCTCTGTCTGGGGTTCTAGAAGGTGTGGGGTATCCCAGAATGCAGTCTTCACCCAGAAAGAAAAGAGCAAAGCAGGTGTGAGTTAGGAAGAGCCCACCCCCTTCCCTATCCCCTAAGCCAGGTTCCGTTAAGTTTTTCTCTGTGACCAACGAGCCCAAGATGGGAACCAACAGCCAAGGAGAGAAGGAGCTTGGCCTCCTTCTGCAGGAAGGAGTCTCCCCCAGAGAGCAGCCTTAAAGCCACAGGAAGGACTTGGGGGAAACAGATGACAAGGCTGACTTTTTACCCAGCAGGAAACTTCATCTTCATGTAGATGAGGGTTTAAAGAATGCCCTTATCCTTGCCTTCTCTTCTCCTGGCTTCCCAGAGCAGCCTGCTATGGAGACGGCGGGTGACAATGAGCAGCTTTGGAAAAGGAGCGGCAAAGGGGAGGAGGCAAGAGGCAAGGGGTTGTAAGGAGGGGGACCCAACACACCTTCCCACACCAGCTTCTCTTCTAATCTAATAGGGTGAACCTGGACTGAATTTCATCTCCCCTTTTTCTACTCCATCTTGCGGCCATGCTTTAGGGATCTGGCTGAGGAGTGGGAAGCAGAGGTCTCTTCCAGGCCTTGATTCCTTTCTCTGGGGTGCAGGTGCCTGAGGAGCTCATACATCTGACCTCTCCAGGAAGCCCCAGGCTCTCACTCCAACCTGCTCTTCAGTTCTTTGTCTGAAGAAGCCACACAAATCCCACCAAGAATTCCCTACTTGTAAGACCACCTCCCCCAAATCACCAGGCTGTGTGTTGACTACGGAAAGGGGATGGATTCTGGTGTACTGTCTGCCTTGCCCTTCTGGGGTCTTTGTGGGCCCCGGAATCCAGACCTGTCATCTGGGGAGTGGCATGAGATCAGAGGTACAATTGTTCCGTTGGCTCTAAATTCCTTGACTTGAGGCTCAGAGGCTCCATGGTATAAATGCTCAGAGGCGCAGGAAAAAATACCAGCAAAAGGGACGCTTGAGACCATTGCTCAGCCAAGAAATGACAATTCAGTAGTAAAGAGCATCCACACACTTCACAGTTGTAAAATGGCTTTATGTTCCGGTATGTAAAATAAAATGTCCATGCTATATAACAAAACACTTGGAAGTTCCATATCCCCTGTTGGCTATTGTGTCTTCTAATAAAGTTTAATCTGTGGTGTGTGTGTGTCTGTTTATGTATATATATATATATACACATATATATATTATTTATTTATATGTTTTATCTAAACCATTCTTAGTTTTTAACATCAAATGTGTAATAAAAATTTAAATAGATGTCTTTCCAAATACCCCCTCCAGCGTTCATTTTATTAAGTTTATTCGTTTGTAAAAAGCAAAGCTGAATTTGACACGTGGCCTGCATTTGTGAGAGAGAGAGAGAGATATATATATTTATTTATTTATTTATATAATGTATAAATAGCTATTCAGCATGCAAAGAGTTTAGTGATTTCCCAAATTTGATTACAGAGTTCACACCAGCCACATGGATGGTCTGGTGATGTTCAATGCTAAAGAGCTGGGCTGGGGACTACACGATCCACCTCACTGGAGAATTATCCTCGCTCCTCTGAGCTCACTGGCCAAATGTACTGGAAGAAATGAATGTTTTCTCGATTCTTGTTTTTATTTCTGTTGGGCTTTCTTGCTCCAGAGGCGAGGATTTTCTGGGAGCAGAACAGGCTCTGCCTGGCAAGCAGCTCCAGTGTGGTCGCCTGGGGACGTTGCCAGGTGAAGTGTGTTTCATAATTGCCAGTCATAGGATGCAGATGATGCCTGAGAGGCCGAGAGTCTTGTACACCAGAGAGAGTGAGAAACTGCACGTTGGGGGCTCAGGGGAAGGGCTTTGTACCATATAAGAAAACCTGAATGATGACAGAGATGCTATTGGTTGCATTTTCCCTCCTCTTGAAGGAAAAAAAAAATTTTTAATACCCATCAGGTGGCACTTAGCACATGACCTTCTCTGAAAGTCATCCCTCAGACCTCAGGACTCCAGAGATCAATTTCCAGGCCACTGACTGAGCCGTGAGCTCTACTCTCAGAGCACACTTTGTGGCTTAGCATGTCTCAGGTCGTCTCACGGAATCTCCAGGAGAGTGGGCCCCCTGCTCCCCAGACAAGATTTCCAGCTTCCGTTGCTAACAGAAGGCCAGGAACTCAAAGATGTGCACAGAGCCCTCCCACCCCAGCAATTCGAGTCTTCCCCCAACCTTCCCTATGAGAGAGACCTCACCACCTGGCCCCTGAGTGAATCAAAGATTATATTATCAAAACCTCTAAGTATCTCACATGAACTCTCCACTGCCGTCCCGTCCCTGCACCTGTCAAGAGATGTGAGCTAACAGTGGACCCAGGTCCTGCAGCCCAAGTCACTTCTTAGATAATTGCGGTTCTTTCCCTTGTCGTGGCCTCAGCGGCACGTCGGAAGGCGGATGCTCTCCAAACGTGCGCACGCACGCACACACACGCACGCACCCACGCGCGCGCACACGCACACACACGCGCACACGCACACACGCACGCACATATACACGCAGACACCCCACCCTTTGAAATACCTTCCTGCGTTTCTCGGTAGTGCAGGCCACCCACAGAGGTTAACACTGGATTGACATGGTCCTGGGGCTGTCTCCGCACATGGGAGTCATCCATCAGTCCAGTTCTCCACAGTTCCCATTCCTGAATGATACTGTAAGGACGCCTCCCGGGACAGGGAGAAGCTCTGAGAGTAGAGAAACTCATTGGCAGCATTCAGGTGTGGCGAGGGGGGCTTCCTCTCGCACACGGAGGGCAGGCCGCGCTCCCTCGGGAAGGAGGCGGCGGGCCCCCGCTCCCGGACCTGAGCCTGTGAGAGCTGATTGTAGACGCTGAAGTGCGTGTTTCCCGGCGGCTGGGAGCTCTGAGCCGAGAGAGTGGGCAGCCGAGGCATCATAGTGGTGGCGGTGAAGTGGGCGGGGAAGGACTGGTAAGGCACAGTCTCCATGGTCTGAACACTGTAGCTTGTGTACGGGGAGACTGACGTCCACATGTTACAGCTCAGGGGGGGTGGGGGCAAGTCGTCCACCCCAGACACCCCGGCAATCTCGGGCCCCGAACCTGAGTACATACAGGCTTCTCTTGGGGTCACCTCACTGCAGTAGGAGGGGCTCAGCATCTGCTGGTCGTAGGGAGGGGGAGAACGGAAATAATGATCCTCTCCCACTGCAGGGGGAGCTTCCAGATAGGATCGCTTGCAAGGTAGGTCCAGATGGCGGGCACTGTCTGCTGGAAGACAAAGAAACCTTCAGGAAGAGCCATATTCCACCAGCCCAGGGCCTGGAACCCTCCTTTTGGATGCCAAGATGGCCTACCATTGTCATGCAGGCCTTGCCCTCGCCCCATGTGGCCGTGGCACTTCCAGAATCATTTTAATCGGCTACAGCTTTTAAAAGGTGGCAGCAGCCAAGAAGTGGTCAGATTATGGACCCTGCTCAGAGGCCGCAGGGGACACCACATCAGTGGACACCCAGTGATGTAGTTAGCCAGGCAGCATATAGCTTTCATCCTTTGCCACCGTGACTCTTAGGGATGGGAAGAGGCCTTAATGTGCACTGGCATTCTTAGGTGAGGCCCACCCTGGCCAAGGAAAGTAGAGGCAACTGCCAGGCCGAAACAGGCCCAGAGGCCACATCTGTCTGAATTAGTCAGAAAATTAAAGCCACAATGTTTCTGCCTTAATCCTCAGCTCCCAGGAAGGCCTTAGCAAGGCAAAGCTACTTGCAGGCACTTACTATTGCTTTTAGAAGAGGAAGTAAACCCTACATGTGTTCAAAGGAGTCCCAGCAGATTGTTGTTACACAGAGTCCAACCGAACAGTGTTTACAAAATTAAGAAATGGAGCTGATACTAAGTAAAAGGTGACTTGGACTTTTAAGGCTAAGCTGATAACGCTCTTTGGGGAAAGATGACATCAGCTGCCCCTAACCACATATGTATGTGTCTTTCGACGTCCTCAACCATGACTGTCTGGAGTGGCACATCCTCCCCTGGGACCCAGGGACGACCCAGGCCTGAGGATTGGCAACAGCCCACTCAACAAATTGAAGGACACTCATCCAATGGCTTCACTTGGCCTCCCTCCTTCTGTTTTCTCCAGGGATTCATTCTGGGAGCTGTGTGTGTGCACAGGGCAGGGTGGCCTTGGGGGTAAGTGGACTGAGTTTGAGGGCCTGCACTCACCTCTTCCCTCTGCCCCTCTGGAAGCCTCTTCCCTGAAGAGGAGGAACTTGTTTCTCCCTCTTACCCAGCTCTCTCGTCATCCTTCATTCATCCCTCCTCTCTATCTTCCCTCCAAGTTCCTCCTTTCCCTCAAGAGCATGAAGCTCTTGGACTTGGAACGTGGCCCAGTCACTCTAGGTCAGGAGTGAGCAAACTTTTTCTGGAAAAGGCCGAATAGTAAATATTTTAGGCTCTGTGGGCTGTAACGGAACCTGTTGGAGCCATTTGACCCTGCTGGTGTCACATGAAAGTGGCCACGGACAGCAGGTAAACAAATGGGTATGTCTGTGTTCCAATACAATTTATTTATGGATATTAAAATTCGTGTAATTTCACATATCATGAAATAACCATCCTTTGATTTTTTTTCAACTCTTAAAAAAATGTCAAACCATTTTTTATGGCTCACAGGCCAGACAAAACCAGACAACAGTCCAGATTTGGATCAAGGGCCACAGTTTGCCAACCCCTGTTCTAGGCCATTCGTTCTTTTTTTTTTTTTTTTATTCATTTATTAGAGAGAGAGCCAAGCAGGGGAAGTGGTAGGCAGAGGGAGAAGCAGGCTTCCCGCTGAGCACGGAGCCCGATGTGGGGCTCGATCCCAGGACCCTGGGATCATGACCTGAGCCGAAGGCAGCCGTTTAACTGACTGAGCCACCCAGGCACCCCTAGGCCATTCGTTCTAATAGGACTGGAGCAGAGGGTACCCAGAGCCCTATCAGCAGCTCCCTAGGAGCTAGGTGGAGAGAACATTCTGGATTCTAAGGAAAAGTCTCCCAACTCATTCCCAAGAGAATTTCAGGGGCCCTGAGAGTTCTTCTGGTATAAACGATAATCATCTGTATTATAGATGGAGAATTTGACACCAGACCCGGTACCAGAGCATAGATGCTCAGGGCTCCTCTCCAAAGAAAACGAAAACAGTTCTTTTGCCTGGCTTCCTGGCCCCCAGTCTACATCCACATAGCTGATTTCCATTCACAAGAATGGAATCTCTTTGCAGATCCTGATATGATGAGGTGGGGAGCCTGTTCTCATGACTCTGGGTCACCCCTGTTTTAGGATTGAGGGTGCTTTGATAAATGATAGCCCTAATCCCCATACCTCTGGACCCTGAGGCTTCAGCCTCCTCCCAGGCTGAGACAGAGTCCACCTGACTCTGTGTGATGTGCCCACCCCGCGGAGGCTCTGAGCAGTGGCTATAAAGAACACCGGGCACTAGGCAGGGGTACCAACCGGCGTCTTGGGGACACCAAGGCCACAAGCTGTCCATGAGGATTCCGAAGGCTGCATTAAAATCAAGAATCAACATCCCTGCTCTAAGCCAGGCCATGGCCTCTAACCCTCCAGGCTTGTTCTCCCAGACCACACGATAACCAGGTGTGTGTGCTCACATACGCACACACGCATGTGCCCGCACAGGCGTGCATGTTCACACATATGATGGAGAGTGTTTGTAGGAAGAGCTCGTCTGACCCTCTAGGGCTTCCGGACTAGGAGAGAGCTACCTCGTCTTTTCAGGCAGTGATAGAAGAGGCTTGAGTCCCTCTGCGCCGGGAAGGTGTTGAGGGGAAGGTCCTGTGGCTCAGCTGCAGCAAACTGCACGTGAGCCCCATTCTCATACTGGTAGTGCTGGAGCGTCTGGTGGGCACCATGCAGGGGGCTGACGTCAGGCTTGGCGGAGAGCTGGGTGGAGACGAGCCTCTGCCTCACGATGCTTTTGGAGATCACAGGATATTCTTTGCTGGAGAGGTGGGGAGGACAGGGACAGGGAGACAGGAAGAGAGTAAAGATACTTGGAGGGCTACCAGGTCTGTGGGCCTGAACCCGGTCTGCGCCCCCCCCCACCCCACCCCACCCCGGACCAGGCAGTCCCACCTCTGCAACCGGGCCACACGCAGGTCACTATCGTCACTGCCCCGGAATCCCTTGGCAAAAGGGTTGTTCTCAATCTTCAGCTGTGTGATCTGTCAGGAGAGGACACACAGAGTCGCTGGGGTAGAGGACTGGGCTGGCTGCTGGCCCTCCTCCCCTGTCCCAGACTGTTCAGAGCTCCCGGCAGGGTCCAGGGAAGGGGCACACCCCAGCCCTCAGCCAGCCGGCCGGCAGCCTCACTGCATCCTCCCGGCGCTCACCATTCACGGCTGGCTCCTTGCTGGCTTCCGTCCATTCTACTCACTGCAGACCTTCTGATTCCGTCTCCTGTTCTCCTACCCCACTGGGCTACCTGCGTGCCTCTAACAGCTTCCCATCTGTGTCACCCCGTCCAGGGCATCTGCCACATCAGCTTCTGAGGGACCGTACTAAATGCAAATCTGTCACTCTGAACGCCTGAATGCCTGAAATCTGCCACAGCCTATGGCCCCTCCTCAATCCCCCCAGCCCACCTGGCCAGTCCCTCGCACGATGTGACAAGTCCCCTGAGAAGGGTCGCCTGGGCAGAAGCAGAGAGACAGGGGAGAGTGGCCTGTGCAGGGATCCGGAGGTGGTTTGGGGTGGGCAGGCAGGGGAGGGGGTGTAACGGGGAGGGAGGTGGACCCGTCTGACCACCGGCTGACGACAGGCTCAGTCTCCGGGCTCCCACACATGACCGTGCCCTGAGCCTCCTTTCCCCAATTCTTTCCCTTTTCCTGGCAGGCCCAGAGTCTGACCTTTGAATCCCACCAGGGCAAAGAAGGTTATAGAACAAAATGGCCCAACACTCAAGCCACAAGACAAGCTCCACGCTCTTGGTTCTTATAGTTGCCAGCTTCGTCCAATCCCCATAATGACTTCGCACTGGAGATTTAGGAGTCTGGTCTCTCTTCCTGCTCAGCATTTGCTTTCTTGCTGCTCTGAGGGACAGCCCAGGTGTCCCCGGCGCCTCTGCCTCAGTGCAGGGGGGCTTCTCTTCCTGCCTCCCTACTAGTAGGCACAGAAATGCCACGCAGGGTCAGTGGAGGGGGACGCGGGCTGGGGGGTGGCTGTACCTTGTGATTCTGGTAGGAGGTCACAGAGATGAAGGAAGTCTCTGGGAACACATGGGTGCAGAAGGCTGTGTTTTTGGAGCCGAAAGCGTTGTTCTCATCAGCCTTCACGATGTGTAGCCGTGGCTGGTACTTGTGCATGGAGTTGAGGATGATCTGGAAGAGAAGGGTCTCTTTCTGAGCTCCAGGTCCTCACCCTCTTGTCTCTGGTCTCAGTCAGCTGGCCTTGGGCTGGCTTTTATTCTCCTAAAAGCCCAGGTTCCAGGGCCTGACTCCTGGCACAGGCCAGAAAGGTGCTATACATAACTTATCTCCCTCAGGTTTCCTACTCCAGCTGCCCCTTCACCCTGCTCCTCCCGCTCCTCACGCCTGCCCTGCGACCTGCCTTTCCTAGAGATGCCTGCCAGGGTATGCAGCATGGGGGAGGAGCTGAGGAAAGTGTCCCACTCCGACTTTTTTCATCTGTTTCAACACTTGCAGAGGCCTGCTGAAGGGGTTCCCAGATGCATCCTGCCCTCAGACCTGCTCAAGGCTGCTCACAGCCCGGAGGGAAGCTCCATCATGGGCTAGAGTTCCAGGTGCCAAGGTAGGAGATGGCAAAGTTCCAGAAATAATGCCAGAGAAGGCCAGAAGCCCCCCCCCCCCCCGCATCTACGGGCCCTCGAGGATGACTGGGGCTGGGGAGGCGGGTCGCCCCACCAGACCAGGAGAGCCCAGGAGGCTTGGCCCCGGAGCCCTGGGAGTAACACACAGTAGTTCCCGCTCCGAACCTGCCTCATTCGGCCGTGCCCCACGGTAGCGGCTGCATCATGTGCCATTAAAATGTATTTTTTATCGTTGACATTTGCCAGACGCCCTCCCCATTGGAGGCAGGACCAGGAATTTGGGGCATTTTATCAGCACCGCTGCTTTTGTTAACCCTTTGGCTCCTGTCCTGGCTGGGCAAGGCTGTGGTCCTCTGGCCCCATTATTCTCTGAGCTCCTTTCTCTCCTTCCTTTCCTTCTAGGGGTGCCCCTTCCTGGGCTAGCCCTTCTGGCTCCCACCCTTCCCGGTTCCCAGGGATAGGCACGGGGCAAGACTAAACCCCTGAGTGACCAGAGTGCCACAAGAAGGGCCAGAACCAGGCTCTTCCACGGCATGCCCAGGCAGAAGCGTTAGTCTGGGAAGGTGCCGCATTCGGCACACCCTGGAGACAGAGACAGCCCAGAGGGCAGGCGCAGCTGAGGATTAGGTGGGTCAGGAGCTGGGCTGTGGCCTCCGGCCTTCCCTGGGCTCCTTGGCTTGGCTGGGTTGCGCCACCCAGCAGAGCTAGCTTTTCTGCCTTCTTCACTGGCTGTGCCCCCTTCCACCCCCAGTGACAAACCTCTGGACCCTCTCGGGGCAGGTACAGAGCACCCCAAACCCCCAGCCAGGTCCTGCAGCTGGAGACCTACTGCCCAACTGGAGCCTGCCAGATAGACAAACTCAGAGTGGACACAAGTCCTGCCTTGGGAGGCCTCCATGGACATCTGTTTCCAGGAGCCTGGGGAATGGGTCTTGGGAAATGCCTCCCAGTCCCTTTAGGTTACTCTGTCACCCTGCACTGTCCCCCAGCTGCAGGAGTCCACAAAGGACCCAAGTCCCCAGAAGACCCAGAAACTAAATCCCTAGGAGGTGGTCTAGATGCCTCCAGAGTCCCACCTCTAGGCCTTTTCACATGTGGTTCCCTCTGCTTGATCTTCCTTTCCCCTTCTCTCTCACCTTCTAGGGTTTTCATCGCAAGGCCCAACTCTTCCAGGAAGCCTTCCCAGATTACTGGGTCCTGTTGTGAACCCCTGATTCTGAAACTTCCTCCCCACGCATTGTCTACTTGGCTGTCGTGTTGCTTCCTAGTGGTTTCCTGTTTCTGCTTGTCCCTTCAATTAAACTGTAAACGCCTCAAGAGAAAAAGAAAGAGCCATATCTTTTACTCCTTTTGTACCTCTGGGCTCTTTTACCCCCAGACAGGAACTAGTAAGTGCAAGGCTGGATTACAGGAGTGGGAAGACCTGGGCCATGCCCGCAAACTCTCCATCCCTTCCTCTCCTATCTTCCTTTGCTCTCTAGAGACAAGGTAGCCTCTAAGGCATTTTTCAGGTGAAACCTCAAGGTTAAAGCTGTGCACAGACAAGTTCTCTGTGAGCGCAGGCTTGCTGCGGCTCCCCGGCGGCAGGACTAGCCCTGGCCACTCGGGCTCCTATATGGCGGGGAGAACACAGACAATGGACTGACAGACCTCAGCAGATGCAGGCACCTGCACAGAGAGGCTGGGCTGTCCCTTAAGGACACCGTCAGCCAGGTGACAGCAGCCGCCCTGCTCTTCTGCCACCTGGGGAGGCTTAGGCTGTATCAGTCCGGCCAGAGCCCTGGGTATCATCAACTCCCTGCTCCTCACTCACCTCCAGGTCCAGTCAGTGACCAAGTCCTGTGACTCCGTCCACAAGATAAAAGCCTCTCCGTTCCCACTGCCCAGCCCCAATTCTGCCCACCCCCCAATCTCTCTCTGGGTTTGGGACAACCTCCTCCCTGTCTCCATCTCCATTTTCACCTGCTACACATCAGATCAGGTCACTCCCTTGCTTAGAACCTTCTAGTTCATCCAGGAAGACTGTCCACTTGCTTTGTATTTCCTCCTCTTGCCTCCCAAGTTCTCCTCCCCCCATCCCTGCCAGCATTTAGAGCTCAGTAAATGTCTTGTATTCATAATGCCACCTTTGATGGTTCCCTCTTGCCCCTTGAGATAAAGGCCAAACTCCTTAGCCTATCAGACAAGGTCCTCCATTGACTGAGGTGGAGAGATTGCCAAACACACCTTCTAGGGGAAGGGCCCAGACTGGCTGGCAGGGAAAACTGGGAAGAGAGAAAGTGCCAGACCTGCAGGGGCAGGAAGGAGCCACTAGGGGAATGCAATCTCAGACACAGAGAAGTCAGGAAGGGTCCAGAAGCTTCTATGGATCTCTGCTCAGCAGCAGCAAGTCTTAGGCAAGCTCTTTCCCTCCAGTCATTGGGGTGCCTATCTGTAAAGGGAGGCCTTCAACTAAGAAGTGGTCCCAAACACCCCTCCTAACTCGGGCAGTCTGGAACCTGGACAGGTGTCTGGAAGAAAGTCCCGCTCATCGAACCAAATTTAAACTGGCGCCTCAGCCCCAACAGCCCAGGAGAATGTGAGACCAACTCTGTGACTCACACCTGGCTTTACTTGGAAGTTCCTCAGGCACCACATTAATCTCTTTTGCCAGAGTCTCACATTTATATGTGTGGCAGAGGACGTTGGGCCAAATAGACCAGCCACATCAACAAACCCTGCTACATGACTGGTCCCACCATTGTTCTACAGAAATGGGATTCATTATATTCTGGCGACAGTTCAGAAGCCTGTTCTATTTTAACAAACTGTGATAGCGCCAAACATCCATCTCCTCGAGAGATCACCCTAGCGTGCTTGGTCAGTGAGGTTGAGATTTATCTGCATTAGAATCACAGAACATTAGCGCATGGAGAGGCAGACCTTAGAAATCATTCTAGTCCAACCTCCTAATTTACAGATGAGGAACAGGAGGCTTGTAGTGGGAACTTGACTTGCCCAAGAACACATAGCTGGTTGGAGACAGAATCCTGAGAAGATCCCAGATGGCCTTTGAGAGAGCACACGCTGCTCTCAACAGCACGCTCAGAAATTAATGATCAAGGGTCAACCGAACACTGTAAGTGACGAGGATTCACCAGGCCCTAATGTCCACCACAGAACACAGTGTATCTGGATGCTAGCCATATAAGTGTGGCTAATGTCCATTGTGTCATAGATTAAAACCAGATTTTCCCCTACGTCATAATTTTACTTTCTAAGACTACCTTCTCCATCATCCTTCTTACCCTCTCCAGTCCTGCAAAGAGGTAAGGACGGGGACAGGATTCGTCTACAGCTTACACAGAAAGAGGAGAAACTGAGACCCAGAAAGGTAAGCGATTGGCTGAAAGCCTATCCAAACTAGGACTGAGTCCGGCGGCCCATTAGCCAACTGACGAGGCCTTGGCCAGATGTGTCTTAGGCCTCGCTCCCAGGGCGGCAGCCCAGGGGCCCAGAAAGCCTTCTGCTTTCTCTCAGAGACACTGCGGTGTTTACGGAGCATAGCCGACGTGCCAGGCCCTGTGCTGAGGAGCTAAGTACTCTTTACAATGTCCCTATAAAGTAGGCATTATTATTGAGCACATTAGGTGCAGACGAGGGGGACTGTGGCTTGGGGAGGTGAAGGCATTTGCCCAACCTCAGACAGCCAGTGGGAGGCGGAGCTAGCCTGAGCTTATACTTATACCTGGCTGCGGAGCACCAGGCCTGATCGGGAGTTGAACGGGGCAGCTGTATCTCCCAATGCACCCAGCAAAGGCTCGGCATTTTGTGCAGGGTGCAGCAATGTGGGAGAAAAGAAGGAAAAGAGGGAGATCAATAGCCCTGGGTCCTCACTGACACGTAGACAGCGTGAGCTTTGGAGGGAGGTCAGCCCCTGGTGGAGGACATGCCTTCTCTGGCTAAATCCCACCCCTGGCAGCAGGTTCCCTCATTCCCTTACTGCTTACCAGCACCCACTGTGCCAGACCCAGTGCCAGGCACAAGGAAACAGGGGTGATTGAAAACCTCGTGGTTTCCTATCTAGTGGGGGAAGTCACAACAGTAATCCAAAAATCAGGCAAAAGTAAGTAGTGAGAAGATGCACTGGACCAAAGACTACATTTATCTTTTTATTTATTCATTTATTTATTTTTAAAGCTTATCAATTTTTATCTTTTTCATTTTTTTAAGACTTTTTTTTTTGGTCAGAGAGAGCGAGCACAAGCAGGGGGAGGGGTAGAGAGAGTAGGAGGCTCCCCGCTGAGCAGGGAGCCCAATGTGGGGCTCAATCCCAGGACCCTGGGATCATGACCTGAGCCGAAGGCAGACGCTTAACGACTGAGCCACCCAGGCACCCCAAGAGATTTTCCTTCTAAGTAAGGAGTGGGTAAGGGCTTTCAGTTACTCAAAATCCAGAATCCATAAGGAAAAGAGCAATATATTCAGTCAAAAACTTCTGTGTGAGGATACCACTACATGCAAAGTCACAGGGCAAACGGCAAACTGGGAAAACATACGAGCAGTTCTATCACATATATGGGCCAGATTGTCCTCATTTATGCAAAGCTCCTAGAATGGATAAGTGCTCGAAAATCCGCGAGAAAAATGAGCAAAGGGTAAGGACAGCAGTTCACAGAAGAGGAAAAAAGATGTTTAACTTCACTCAGAATAAAGCAAATACAAACTGAAACTACAACCAGTATCTACGGTTCACCCGTCAGACTGGGAAAAGCCCAGAATGTCTCTCCCTCCCGCCGGGGAGGCTACAGTGGTAGCAGGACTACCCATCAGTACAACTCCGATGGAGGGTGAAACCGCAAATTACAAATCCAAACACCCTTTGAGCAAGCAACTCGCCACACAGAGATACTTGACACAGGTGTAAAATGATATAGGTACAAGTTTAATTGAAAGAGCAAAAATAGGCATCTTCATTTCTGCGATAAGGACTGGCTACATGATTGATGGAACAATCGTGCAATGAAATTCTATGCGGCTATAAGGAAGGGAATCAAAGGAAGCTCTAGGTGAAGGGCATGATCTCCATGCTATACTACTGACAAAGCAAGGCACAAAAAGCATTTATAGTATGCTACCTTTTGCGTATAAAAGAAAGGATTTGAGATTCTGTATTCTGCTTGTATATGCAAAAAGAAATGCCAAAAACAAATTAGTAACAATGGGTTAGCTGTGGCCGGGATCGGAAGAAACTGGGTGGACGGGGAACCAGAGGATAAAAATGGTTCATTACAGACATTTTTTATTCATTGATTTATTTTTAAATCGTGGGACTGTATATTTCCTATTCAAAAACAAATTTGATTTTTAAGTATAAAATTCTAGGGGCACCTGGGAGGCGCAGTTGGTTAAGCATCTGACTCTTGGTTTCGGCTTGGGTTGTGATCTTGGGGTCATGGGTGGAGCCCCAAGCTGGGCTCTGTGCTCATCATGGAGTCTGCTGAGGATTCTCTCTCCCCCCCTCCACCTCTCCCCCCTAAAATAAATAAATCCAATCTTTAAATAGATAAAATCCTAACTGCGGTAAGTACAAGAACAGAAAGGTGCATGGCAATCTGGGAGCATGTAATGGGGACCCTGAACTGCCTCCCTGAGGAAGGGGCGTTTGAGCTTTCATCCCAAGGCTCACGAGTAACTAACTAGGTAGTCAGAGGAAGAGGTGACACACTGAGGGGACAACGCAAGTGTCACTTGGTGACCAAAGAGCTGCAGCCTACAGCCCCAGCCTGGAGCCAACCCAGCCTCTGGAACAGTTAGACTTACTATGTCAGAAATCATAAGCTGGTCTTCCAGCTCAGCAATCTGGGAGTCCTGGGACATAAGAGGTGTCTCTTCTCACACACAGACACACACACAAACACACAGACCCCACCCCACTGCAGCCATCGGCTCCCTGCCTCCAGATCAGGAGAAAAGTAAGACCCAGCCATCTCCATGTCCTGCTGCAGGAGGCAGGCCCTACCTCGGTGAGGCCCTCCTCAATTTCCCGAAGCGGCTTCTCTTACCATTTCATGGTTACCTGGCCCAGGACCCTGGGGGGGTGGGAGGGGGTGCAAGTAGGAGGCAAGGGCCGCCTGCCCATCTCTAGACAGCGGAACAGAAGTGGAGCTGAATTGGAGCTCTAAGGCAGCAGGTCAGTCCTGCCCAGCCCCCGTGATCCTTTCTGCCCCTCCTCTGGCCTTGGGCTTACTCCCAGAAACCGGTGGTCATACCCTGAACCTACCCCAAGAAGGAACAGATGGCCCTCCCGGACCATGGCAAACATCCACCAGGAGTTTTCTAAACCCAGTCCTAGAACATGTGGGCCATGTGGTCCAAGGGGTCCCTGTTCCCTGTATGTAGGACCAGCTGCCTAGCCCAGGCTCTCACTGGGACCCTGGACCCTTCTCCTGAGGGAGGGCTGCAAATGAAAGGCAACAACTAAAATCCCTGACACACTAGAAGACCCAAGGGGAAAAGTCCAAAGCTCATTTGGCTGAGAAAGTTCCTCGAGGTCCGGGAGATTTTAGGGAAAACTGAAACACTGGAGGTGAGCAATGCAGAAGGAAGGGCTTGTTTGGGGGCAGACTCATAGCCCGACATGGCTCTTTCCCAGGCTCCTGCACCGAGAAGCCGGGCAAGGTGATGAAGGGCTCAGCACTCCCACCGGTGCAGGCCAATGAGCAGAAAGCCCTGGTCCACATGGCTTATCTAGGAATCCATCCTCCACAGCCCTTGCCTCATAGTCAGAAGCTGCTCCCTCTCCAGGGATGCTCCAAATAGTTGCAGATCTGACAGCTCAAGCCCTGGGCACAGAAAGACGGGTGGAGAAGCTCAAAGAATACTGGCCTGGGGACAGGTGTGGGTCCAAGACGGCTCCTTTACTCCCAGCCCCTGGGACAGTCACCTCTTCTCCAGGTCCTGCCGCTGCACATAGGGTGCTGTAACCAATAAGCTGCTCGTGCTGGGCAGATGCGGGGGGCGGGGGGGCAGGGGCGGGGAGGAAGATGCTCTGCATCCCAACCCTCTGCAGAGAGAGCTGAGTTAGTATGGGGAGTATCCCTATGGCCAAGGAGAGGTGAGCTCCAGGCAGGCATGGTGAATATAGCCAGGGCTACCCTCAACATCACGAGCCCCTCAGGCAGCCCCACCGGCTCAGACTCAAGACTATATGCGGGATTACAGCAAACCCCTTATGGACCCCAGGCGAGCCACCGGAGAGGCAAGCCAGGCTGGCTCACGCAAAGATCCAGCTCTTGCCAAGCTCTGCCCTGTCCACAGTGGCAGGCAGACACGTGCCTGCCAGCTAGTCCCAAACTCCCACCACAGAGGCCCTCGTTAACCTCTCCAGGTTGGTGCCGTGACCTGGGCAAGCAGAGGAGGCCAGGTAGGAGCCAACGGGGAGCAAAGTCTTGGCCAAGATAGTGCCCAGTAAGACCCAGGAGGCCCTTCTGTCTCTTGGTTAAAAGGCCCCGTGCTCTGGGAGGTGGGGACTTGGCCCACTCTTCCCATTAGATCGGTGGCTTGCCTCCACCCCCAGGAGAAGTTGGGGCTGCCCCTTTCTGCCACACACCCCCAGCACCTGCCTGCCTCGCATGGGAAAACCTGGGCTCCTTGCAAAACGGAAAAATCAGGAGTTCATTACACTCATTAAGCTTTCTCCGAGTTGCTTGTTTATAGATTACCAACTCAGAAGAGAACGGAACAGACTCAGAAAATTAGAACTAAGGGCTGCTTGTCTTATATACCAATCAATCAGAAATGACCCATTGCTGGCATTTTCCATGAGGAACTATGATTCACAGGATTCTGATGTGCATGCAACTCCTCAGGAATAGAACTTAGGTATGAAAGAGGCACATCCCTGCACCCCTCCTCACCCCTGCGTCCCCTACCACCAGCCGCACCCTGAGGATTACATGTGCAGCCTGGGCAACTGCATCTAGCAGCCTCTACGGCCCCCGTGCTCCACCCCACCCCACCCTGTACTTCCAGAGTAACGACGGGTAGCGGAGAGGGGCCAGGCCTGTGCCCCGGTGGATAATACCACGTCCCCAGACTTCAGTTTGCCACACACTTGAGCTAAAAATTTCCACATAAAATGCTTTTTGTGGGCCTGCCAGAGCCAGATGGGGAAAGAATGAGCCTCGGCAGCCTGGATGGGGCGTCAGCGGCAGCATCCCTGGGGCTCCAGAGTCTCTCTTATAAGAGCCAGGCCCCAGGCAAGGCCAGGAAGGAGCGGCCACCAGGGCCAGGGTGAGGCCTTCCCTTCCAGAGGGCAGGGGCTGCCAGGCCCAGCAGAAGGCACACACCAAAGAGAGGCTTCAGAACTCATCAGTGACTCTTTCCCAAGAAAGTGAACGTGTGTTTGGCTCCAGCAAGGCCAAATTTGGGGAAACCGAAGTGGAGAGATTTGACCCATCATCATCGTCCTTGTCGATAGCTGCCATGTATTTAAAGCCTCCCACGTGCACAGTGCTTCCTGCATATTCTCTCAGTTAAATCTTACAACCACGAAAGGTTTTTAGATAGGGAAACCAGGGCTCAAAAAGGCCAAGAAACTTGCCCAAAGTTACCCAGGCAGCAAGTATGAGGGGAAAGATGTACTGCTGTGGGACTCAGACCCCGGCTCCTTCCCCAGTCTGGCCCCGGCATGTGCCAAAGCCCGGAGCTGGATCCCCAGAGTGGATTCTCCACATCTCCACCCCTACCCAGCCCACCCCCAGCTGAGCACCAGGGCTGGCTCTCAAGGCCAGGCAGTCTCTTTCTTACATGGCCAAAGGGGTCCAGGTGGTTGTTTGTGAGCTTCAGCTTCTGGAAGGAGACCAGCTGCCGCATCCAGTGGGCCCCAGTGGCAGGAGAATCGGGGTGGACATAGAGCCTTCCTGGCATGGCCGGCTCAGCCTTCCCTGCCACCATCCTGCCAACAGAGCAGACAGAACCACAGCGGTTGATTACTCTGGGCTCTGGAAAAGCCCAGATTCCCTGTCCCCTCTGAGAGCAAATCCCCATAAACCTGAGAGGGAAAAAAAAATCAATGCTCATCCTATACTCTCAATGTAGGGCATTGTGAGTGGGAGTGAGGGTCAGAGGAGAGCGTGCTGAGGAGGGGGAGCGATTCTGAATCTCTTTTATTTGCAGTAGAAAGAGAAAGGGAAGTTACAGACAGATGTGTTTATTTACTTCAAAGAATGGGGCTAATCACAAGTATATTGTGCGGAGATTTAGGCACTTCTGTGTGCGTGTTATAGTTTCAATTTTAAAATGTTATAAATTATATTATTTGGAGGGAGCTTCTCAGAGGACCTAGACAACTCTCAAATTACTTGTCCCCGGGCGCCTGGGTGGCTCAGTTGGTTAAGCGACTGCCTTCGGCTCAGGTCATGATCCTGGAGTCCTGGGATCGAGTCCCGCATCGGGCTCCCTG